TGCTGCAGTCGGCCCACCTCTTCGGGCAGTTCCGACAGTTGATTGCCTCCCAAATACAGCAAACGCAACGATTCCAGGCGATGGATATCCCGGGGCACCGACTCAATGGCATTACTGCCCAAATACAATGACTTCAATGACTTGAGCTCAAGAATTTGTTGAGGAATTACTTTAAACTGCAACAAATCATATCATATCTTCATATTTGTGGTGTGTTTCATGTTTTGGATTTAAAATTAGGGTTTTATGAAAAGCAAAATTTTTATTTTACTTTTTCATTGAAATCTTCCAATGAATACAAGGATTGAATAATTTCTAAACTCATTTTGTGTTTGTTTTTTTAGTTTAACTCATGTATAAAAGCAATGAGAAATTTATTTATTCAGTGAATGACATCGAAAAGCATAAGTTAGCGACACTTTGGCCTCATTTTTATAGCCCTCTCATCATATGATGAGTGAAAGTCTTTGCCAAAAGAGTTAAGAAAATAGGTTTTGAATGATAATCAAGTTTTCGTGTCATATACTGTAAATTTCACACTTATAAAAAAGACTTAAAACTAAAATATTAAATAAATTCTTAAAAATAAAAATTTCTTAATTTACAAACAAACTAAAATTAGATATTTTAAATTTAAACTAATATATCGATAGAAACATTTGAAAATCATACAAATAAGAGATGCTTACTGACCATATTTCCACCCAATGATAGCACAGACAATGAATTAGCAAAAGTGGTGCCGAAGTCTTTGGGGAAACTATTTTCGTCCAAATGATTGTTAGCGCAGATAAAAGTGCGTAAACTTTTCAATTGACAAATCGTGTCGCATATAGCGGTCAACTGGTTGTGCGACAGGTCTAACATCTTGAGGTGCGTGTATGCCGTCAACTGATAGGGAATACCAGTCAACCGATTGCCGCTTAAGTTGATTGTGGCCAATGAGGTCGAGTTGAATTGGGATACATTGGCGCCCAATGAGCTCGAGTCCAGATTCAGGTAAGACAGGTCCAGACTCGACGAGTCCGAGTCACACGACACTTGTCGGGCCGTGAATATCATGGACTGGTGGACAGAGTCGGCACTTGAGGACCGGGACCGGTAGTCCCAGTCGTCCGATGATAGGTCACTGTCCGGTACTTCTGGTGCCTCAGCCATTGACAGCAAATTCTTTGGATTATAAAAATATAAACTTTTTTAGACACAAAACTTTGAATAACTGTTTAAATTGTGAGCATAGAAGTCAAACAAAAATATAAATCAAATTAAATGTTATATAAATATTTATTCTGCATTTAATAAACTCTACAAATTGTTTATTAATTTAATTAGAAAGTTTACAAAAGTCTATATTATTAACTAACATATCACTTGTGAGTTTGAAAATAGTTTCACACTTTTCTCATGACATAACACATGAGAAACACAGAATTTAAATGAAATAAAAATTATTACTCCACTTATTAGCAGTTACTAATACACAAACACATGTAGTAAATATCCTTGGAGTGAAATTAAATTCATCATAGCACTTATTAACTATTTATTCAGTAAACACTCGTTAGGTGTAGTTTTAACGAAATACACACTTTTATTATTGATTTCAAAAAACTTAATCTTGAAATGAGGCAAAAATCTGAAGTCAAATAAAATCCAGTTCCTCATCACTGAGTCGACACCAAAAAAAATACAGTTATCACCAAATTATACGATCTATAGATACATCGCTCATAGAAACAACTTATAAAACCCAAAATATTATGAAATGCGTCAAAATGTATACATGAATTGCATAATTAAAAACACTATTTAAACAGTTGTCTCATTGATGTCTAAATCGGACCAATACATAGCAATTTTAATAGTGATTTAATAATATCTGTGCAAATAATTAACTTATATTATGAATATTATACTATAAACACAAACATCATGTGTTTTCTCTCTAATTGTTTGTTAGGAAATAACAATCAATTAAATGTTTTGTAGGAATAAAGTATTAGATAGCCTTGAAGTCTAGTGAATATTTCAATGAAAAAATG